GGGGGGGGCAAGAGGGAACTCATTGGAGTTCCTAAAATACACGGGACCGATGATGGCCATTGAGGAGTCTGTATCTCACAATGAATCACAGTCCGCGCCGTTTCTCCGTGCGGACAAGCCGAGATTCCGAGTGGAGGGCTCTTGTCGCTCTTTCTGCTCCGTCAGGGCCCGAGCAGAGTGCAGGAACGCTGGAAACACGACGCCCTTGGTGGATCGAAAACAGGAGACCGTTGGAGGGTATTATTAAGGATGGGACTGAGTTATTAGAGTTATTTTGAGTTAAGAGAGAAGCAGCTAAAAGTGATGATGGATATTTCGAACAAATAAAAACGTAGAAAGAATGAATAGAAAAGAGGGGATAGAAGGAAACTGTAACTACATTATCTGGTACGAGTTCGATTTCCCTTTTAAGACAAAATGTGTTGGATTTTTTAGAGGCAGGACCCCCGAGATTCGTATACATCGCCTATAGAACCGAACAAAGTACAAGGAAAACCTTGAAAACCACCCAAAAAATTAAATTCAAGGACGCCTCCATAGGGGACTCGAACCTTAGACAACTGCATCAAATTCCAGAACAAAACCAATTGAGCAAACGGTGTGTCCATCTGTGAGCATGACAGGGAATATGTCAGCAATGGGAGCTGCCTTGTGCTCTGCTTGAACTGATTCTGTAGGACAGTAAGAGATGTGACAAATCCATTTAATCAGGAAGAATGTAAGTTCAGATCATGTTTCGTACTATGGATCTCGGTCTAGGGTTTTTTATACATGTAATAGATCCCGGTACATGCAATTTAGTCTAGGTCGATATGAAGGCTGGTAGTTAAGATAAAGGAGTCCAATGGCAGCGTTCGTCGTCCTCATAAATGTAATTAAAAGACAGACTTTTAACTTGATCAGACGCAATTATTAGTTCATGGCATCGATGAACGCGTGGCAATGTGGCGGGACGGTCGTACGAGGATGGACATGACTGCATAGTGATGGGAAAACTTCAAAACAAGTTTGTTTATTGTACCATATCGCCGTCTCAGAACTATTTTGTAAAAAGTGTATTTAACTATAGAATGTACTTAGGACAAAAAAGTTCTGAGGCGACGATATGTTTACTTGGTAGAAAACTGCTGAGTCCTGATACATGTACTGATATCAAGGCCTCTGAACCACACGAGGAACGTGTCCAATAGGTCATTGTAATTACAAAAGTGCCATGCCTCCGCGGATACGACTTTGATCATTTAGGTGGCGGGCAGCTTCAGCCGGGCTCAGTGTGATTCTTTCCGCACCCCGGGAGACATTTTGTACAGTAGAAAGTTGGAAATAGTAGATGGAATAGCCTGTCCCACGAGAAAGCCCTACTCCTGTGTTTTGCATGCGATAGCGAAGAGACCGAACCACAGACGCAGGTACTTTTCAATAAGAGGTGACCCCAAACAACCGTAGGATTCGGTTACAAAGATAACGGTTAAAAGCCCAGCTCATATTGTGCCAACTTGACAACACATCCAAAACCAGTCGCAAAAAATGATGCCGAGAAACCTTTTTCTTAACCTCGATTTTTTCCCGGAAGAATGAAAAAGAGTGATTACTAATAAAACGTTGTCGTCACAATTTTTAAACACATTTCCGCTATATCATTTCCAATATTTGATCCGTGTTTTCACACAGCGCCTGCCCAAACAAAGCTCAGATCGCTTGGCAAACAATGCAGCATTTCCTTTAAGGGTTTGTATAAGACGTGTTCAAACCTTGGAACATTTATAACCTCCTTGGACGTGGATAATCCAGATAGAAACGGAAGCAATGAGAAGAAAACAATTTCGCTGAAAATATTGAACCCCCTTACCTGATTTTGGGCAGCTCGCACGAAGCCCATATTGGATGTTACAGTGATAGCCTCAAGACTGTCACCTGTGCCAAAAATCACCTGTAGAAAGAACGAAAGAATACTATTACTATTACATGTATAATTAATAACATTAAAGTAGAGTGAACAAAAGCGAAGACGATAAGTCTTACAGAACACAAGAGTGAATAGACAAAAAAATTATCGACACTGTAAACTTCCCAACCCACCCATTTAAATATGACACCCCAGAGAGTGGAGACACCAGATACTAATTTGGGGGGGGGGGGGTCACATTGACTTTTACCATTATATACCTTATCAAAGCTAATGGGATGTCTTAGATTCTCCACTTCTCCACACAAGATAAACCCTGCTTACCAAATGAAAATGTAGAAAAATACAATACATTGGTCTCTTTTAAAGACATCAGACCATTGTGACTGAAAGCGGTGCTTGAAGGAAAGATGTGGGGAAGACAAAAAGTAACATTAACATGAACGGACAACACTAAAACATGGTCGGGCCTGGGTACGGCAGAAATATGCAAAAACAGCTTGTTACCTTTAAGG